CTTCTAACACCGTATAGGAACATTTGCAATTACCTTCCTTCTTGAGTTTGGGTGAAATTACAAAATAAAAATTTAAATTCTTTAACAAAAGGAGAAGCTTGAAAGGATTCTTAAAAGTATAAGCAAAAAAAACATTACGACTCCAGTACACGGAGAAAAAAAGTTAGCCATATTAGCTAAAATTTAGCTATTTTAGCTAACCCTATTTGTTATTATATGGACAGCAATTTTCGTTAGCTAATACAGCTAAATATTAGCTACTGTAGCTAAAAATTAGCTATCCATATAATAGCAAACTCATTTTTCTCCTTGTACTCTCTAAATTTGAATCAGCGGAAAATCGCTGATTGGGCAGCTATAAGTATGCAGCTGATTCAAACAGCGTATATATACATTGATAATTAGCGCATATACACTATTTCATCAGTGTATATACGCTGTTTGAATCAGCTGCATACTTATAGCTGCAAATTAGCGACGTTTCGCTGATTCAAATTTAGAGAGTAGACTCACCGAACAATTATTGGCCAGCACATTAAAAGCTAAGTCTATATATAGCAAACTCAATACTCAAAAGTTTAACTTTCTCAAATACACTGAAAAAACTATATATATTCTAAATTTAAGAATATCTTTTTGGCGCCTATTTAAGATTATTTCCCATGCATTTTATTCTTAAACGTAGAATATAATATTCTTAAAATAAGAAACATTTTAAAATTTTGAATATTTTAATTAATTTTTAGGCTCTACATTGAATCCAAAAGTGGAAAAAAGGGCAATTTGTGCATATTCCAGGCAGCTAAAGAGGGTCTGTTTAACTCTACTTTACTCCTAGGAAAGAAATCCTTAAATTTCGCCTTGGGTTTACTTGAATTCAATTCGATAAACAATATAGAATTCAACGTATTTTCTTGCTTTAACATTATTTGTAAATATATAAGAATTAAAAGTATATATGTAATTAATTAACACTCAATCTTTATCATCAGTATGTCGCCAAAATCCTAAATCAAAGAAAATAATACAAAATAGGGGAGGATGGGGCAAGGATGGGCAAGGATAGTTAGTGGCACTATTGCCTACACGGCTTGTTCAAAAAGGGCACCATTCATCATATATATATATATATACTTGTTTTAACACCAAAAGACGTCAAGAAAAATTTGATCTTGATGCGATATCATTTGTGGAAGCTACGTGTTTATTTGTGAAAATCCTGTTTTTTCTAAAATGTCACAGTTCTGTTTAAAACACTGTTTCAGATATTAACTGTTTTAAATATTTATTTATGTCCAAAAATTTTTTTTGGTAGTGCTTTTAAGTGTTTTGAGGTGCTTTTATCCAATGAAATTAAAAAAACCCCAAATTTAATGTCTTTTTTTATTATTTTTCGTAAAAAGAATTTTGATAACTATCCTTGCCCCAATAGTGGGGCAAGGATAGTTAAATTTTTTTTTTATTTTCCGCTAATATCTCGAAGGCATTGCAATCCACAGCAAAATAATGTATTACAAAATTGTAGCTAAATAAACAAGATTTCGAACGATACTATTTTTTTCCGATGCCTGTTGAATTTTAGCTGTAAGATCTAAAAATGTCTTACCTAACTATCCTTACCCCATCCTCCCCTATATAGCCCAGTATATAAAATGCGATAAATAATTTGGCATCTAGGTTCAACGGTGTGCACTGTCGATAAATTATCCAGTGCATACCGCTGGAATTCGACTGTCGATAAATCGGTTATTCTCAAGAGATGTTTTCTACAGTGAAACAGGAGATTTTTTTAAATTAAATTATAATAAAAAATATTTCAAATACGTGACTTATTCATTAGTTAAACCCAGGTTCAAAGATTTCTCGGGTTCAAGTTTATATAAAACAATTCATATTATTAATTTTTTGAGCACCTTTCGAATAAGAAGGCCAACATATTTATAATAATAATTAATAAATAAAAATATTTAATTATAGAGGTTTTAGAATTCGAGTTACAGAGGTCTACCTTTTAGGGAAGGGAATGGACATTTTATTCGACTTATCGAGTAATGAGATTCTACTGAAAATTAATTTTTAGTATGAATATAAGACACGAGAAAATACACAGCACGGCTTCTTACTGTGAGGTTATACTGTATAAGGATATATGTAGGGCTTGTAAGGTAACCGTGTAAACCTGCAGTATAAACATGAGGTCATCTTAAAACTTCCGCCTCACAGTAAGCTTACACTATAAGGTTCTGGTAACCCTACTAAAAATCTGAACTTAATCGCATCTGAACTTGTACAAGATCTTCTACAGGGATTTTCAGCAGGGAAGCTTACACGCTAAGTTTCTGGTATAGGCTTTCTACAAGATTACTGTAAAACTATACTGTAAGCTTAGAATGTTTTATTATAATATATAAATTTTTTTATAATATTTATGCGTAGTTGTTTTCTATGGCATACCCTACTGCGGGGTCCATATAGTGTTTTACCAAATATATTTCTGTCTTTTTCTAACGCATTTATTTCGTTCGCGAACTATTTTCACGAAGCTATTGTGCGTTCGCCTTACCATATATAATATATCCTACCGTGTAAGCTTAAATTACCACGACCTCTCACCGTTTAAGTTTACCACAACTTTACTGTGTAAGCTACACTGTTAGAAAAATCTGTATTAGATTTAATATACATGCGTATGAAGCGAATATGCACTACAGGTATTGAAATCTAAGATACATGTATATTAAATTTAAAGTGACAACATGGCGGCTGTAGATGCCTATTTCACCAAACGGTCATTATTTCCTTGATATTGAAAATTTATTTGAAATTGAAACAACAGTGCGTAATTCTTTAACTATTGTGTTGTTTATGTCCAAATAATGTTTTATAAGGGGAAAATTTTTCAAAAAAAACATTCTAAATACAAGAATTTTAATACTTATATGTGACATTTAGGTTAAGTATACTATAAATGTCAAATTATATGCATTTTTACAATGTAAATTGATTTAAACTTGTATTTACATGAAAGAAATTACTTTGCTTTATTAATAAAAACCTTATTTTGTACACAAGAACATGTATAACACAAAAAAAAGCTGGTGTTATTTTTGTTGCGGGTAATTTTCTCCAATGCTAAAACCCATAAGATTTAACCCAGATTTAGGGTAAAATTTGTTGCGTGTTATTTTAACACCAATTCTGGTGTTAAAATAATAAATTTTAACACCAATTCTGGTGTTAAAATAATAAATTTTAACACCAATTCTGGTGTTAAAATAACACTTTGTTTTTCCTGTGAAATTGAGTAAAATGCAATTTTTTTATTTGAATTTTTTTCAGTGACAAAATTTAATATATACTTTGTATATGAATTACACTCTAATATACCAGTTTCTTAAATTTAAGTACTTTATGTATATTAAAACTACAAACATTTTTAACAGTGTATATAACTGTGAGGCGGAAGTTTTAAGATGACCTCATGTTTACTATCCGTCTTAAATTTTTACTCGGGTACAGATATTCTTACAGTAACCTCACAATAAGAAGCCATGCTATGTGAGAACAGAGTATCAACAAAATTAATAAAAGAATTTACATCCTTAAAATTAATAATATTACAACAGATTTGAAGTATGTCAACTTGCGAATTTTCCAATTTAGATCCTGATTCAATTATACACTTTGGTAAACCATGTCTGCGTCGCTAAAGGTTTGATCTACTCAACGATATTAATAAACTTAAGAAGCGTTCCCACATAGCACGACTTCTTGCTGTGAGGTTACTGTAAGAATATCTGTAGGGTTTGTAAGGTTACCGTGTAAGCCTGCAGTAAACTTGAGGTCATCTTAAAACTTCCGCCTTACAGTAAGCTTACACAGTAAGGTCGTGGTAAGTTTACATGGTAAGGTTGTGGTAAGCTTACATGGTAAGGTTGTTGTAAGCTTCCCGTAAGGTTACTGTAAGGTTGCTATAAGGTTACTGTTAATATAAAGTAATATGAAAATATATTAAAAATAATTATATTATAATATATATTATATTATAAATTTTTTTGTATAAAAAATGATATATTTGGTAAAGTACTTTATTAACCCCAATAGGGTTTGTCAAATAAAAGTTACTGCGCAGCCGCATGTGCCAAAGAAAACTACTGCGCATAAATATTAATAAATTTTATTTACATGTTTATGTTTACAGTAACCTTACATCAACCTTACAGTAACCTTAAAGGAAGCTTACAATTATCTATGTAAACTTACCACGACCTTACTGTGTAAGCTTACCTTAGCTTTACTGTGTAAGCTTACTGTAAGGCGGAAGTTTTAAGATGACCTCAAGTTTACTGCAGGCTTACACGGTAACCTTTCAAACCCTACAGATATCGTTACAGTAACCTCCGAGCAAGAAGTCGTGCTATGTGGGTTTGACCAACTTAAAATCGAAGCAAAAAAAAACTTTGTTGAAATGGTATGTTTTTTTGTAAGTGCAATCCGAAATGGTAAGTTTTGTACGGCTTTCACTAGTTGGTATATGTTTTAAAACAATTTTCTGAAAGGGTATGTTTTTCCACTTACCCGACTATTTATGCAATTGGCCTTTTTAATTTTAAAAAAATCTACATGAAATTAAGAAATAAAAAAAAATGTTAAACAGATTTCAATTTCAATAATGATGTGTGCTGTGAGGAACAGTTTCTCCTATAGAGGCGCTGATTTCGCAAAACGATGAATTTTCTCCTTTATCGCCACGTACTCTCCACAAGCATTTCCTGAAAACAACGATTTTTTTCAAACGTTTTCAGCTTCCGTCTCTCTTTTTTGTATTATTTCTTCATGTGCGCCTCTCATACACTGAAAAATATTATAAACGTGGACGCTAGTGCCCCTAGCGACAGTATATGAAAGCTTCTGAGATGCGTGACGACTGGTGGGAAATAAAAAATTGGGATGAACGTAACGTGTGCGGCGTGTATAAGGTTAGGAGGGGAGCCTATAAGACACTGGAGAGACGAACTGCTAGGCAGTCGAGCCTGGTGGAGCCTTGACGAGTTTCAAGCTGCGTTGATTGCAAGGCATGAGAATGTCGAGAGTATAGAGAGAAAAAGAGTTTGAGGTACTGGGTGATCTGTTCGCGCGTGGAGAGATGGAAAAGACTGACATGGCGGGGCAAAGCCGGCTTACAACACGGCGAATACCGCGCTCAAGGTTTAGTTGCCACTGGTCGGACTGTGGGTTCGGAGTGTTTTATTTTTTTATTTGTCTTAAATATAAATCAATTTTTTTTAAGTGTTCCGAAATATATCATCTGAAACTATTAATTATGAAAATTTTTTATAATAAGCAATGCTATATTATTATTAAACTGATCTTGTGTTAACTAAAAATGTGAAATACAATATTAGAAAGCCAACATATTAGTGTTGGTAAGGTTAAGTTTGAGGTCATAAATTAATGAAATAATTGTTACATTAATTTCACTGAGAAGGAGTTACTGATATTGTCTGGGTGAATAAACAGTTGGAATCTTCAAGGCAGATGACGTGGAACCGGTTAAGGTCATTCGCGTGAAGCACGAAGACCGCATGCTTTCCTTCTACGTTATCTCTAGCCACCATAAGTTTCTCTGGAACTTATATATATATATATATATACATGCATAGTTGAAGAATGTGCTTCATCATTTCCAACTTCTGTATCAGAATATGTTTTCATCCAATGAATTATTAAATTATCAAGACAAAATGTGATTTGATTTTATGTTATATATGTGAATTATTGCTATTTACACCCGCGCATTTCTTGGTGACTTATCGTGTTCTTATCTTTGGCATCCTTTTTGTATTTAAAAGTTAATAGTGAAAAAATTTCACAAGTGTAAAGTGAATATAAACAGCCCTATTCTGGATTTAATGTTTAACAACGAATTCATTAGAGATTAACAACAATATTCTTCCAAGCCTACTGAGGTAAGAAATGAAATATAGCATAGTCGCACTATAATATTACTGTTGTAATACATAAGAAAAAAATGATAAACATGTTCTTCAAAAATTACAGATGTATTGAAAATGACATAGTGCATTTACAAATTTAAACACGTCATATAATTAACATTTTATAATAATCAAATATTGACTTAAAAAATGAGAAATGAGACTGATATCTCCTGTACTAAATTATTTACTCCAATAAATCGAAACCAAAATTAACATCTATTCACTGAAATAGTCAATATTCGCTTTAAAAACATGATCTATTAATAATAAGTATAATAACATTACTACTACTAAATTTTTTTAGAAGACAAATCGTAAAAATTTATTCAATGAAACTCTAAACATATAGTTTATATAATATACGAATTAACTTTAACATTGTCTCTTGTTTTTAGAATAAAAAGACTATAATTAACGAAAAATAGCTTTTGTATATCGTAAAAAGAATTTAACCCTTTGCGTCATGCTGAGTCGCTCAGAGACCCACCTTTGTTTTTTCGCTTCTCGTATATTATTTAACTTTTTTGGTTTATAGAACTTATTTGTAATATATTTTTATTTGTTTTCGAGAAGAAAATTGTTATAAACTTAATATTATGACTTAGAAAATAAAAATGTAATAACAAAAGGGAACGTTCACATATGACGTCACTAAATTTTTCCAGATTTTGGACCACTCCCCCCTTGTCCCAAAATTTTTACATGAGAGTAACACATTGTGTCACGTTAAGTAAAGACCCCCTAGAACGTGACGTCATAATATGTGAACGTTCCCTAAGTCAATTTTCTATCAATTCTAATCAAGAAGAGTATTTTAATACGTTCATGAGACAAGAATATTTTAATTTACATTATTGGTAATAAAAATTGTTCTTAGACTTGACGAATTCTTCAAAAAGTTTTAGGTTTTATATCTGTGTTATATAGTTATAAAGATATAAAAACAAATCTTTGACGGCTTTAAAGCCCTGATATTTACCTTTAAAATGAAAAAAGGAAGTTCAAAATCGAACAATAAATAACGATAAGTTACAAGGAATTAAATGCATAAATCTACTTATAAAAACGATTTTTTTGGCACCAATACGAAATTTTGAGGGTGTTTCGGAAATATCAAGTGTAATATTTTTTTTAATTTTTCGAAATATTTTTTGATGACACCCTCCCAATAAGCACTTAATCTTGCAATACACTTGCAACAAGCTTGTCTCGCAAGGTGTGCAAGCCTGCACGGTAACCTTGCTGTAAGTATGTTGCAAGCTTATGTATGTTGATTGGGGTGTTATATATATTGCTAATACAATTATTATATTATTATTATATATAAATTTTGAATGAATCACTCAATATTAATAATTATAAAAGTGGAAAATTTGATCGATATTATTATTGTTATTATTAATCTATAATTGTATTAGAAACATACGACATTATTATGTCAACTTTATATTTTAATATTTAGTTTATTTGAGCAATGTATGTGGTCAATGATTATCTTTAAAAAAAGTTTATTGAATACATTGGATATGAATTAAATTTACAGTTTATGATGTATTAAAAAAGTTGTTTGGTCGTCATTTTCTTGAAAGCAGGTAGTTTGAAGCATCGATAGTTTTGTAAAGAATCGTACATATTCACCTGCTATTGGTTGAGTGATCAATCGGTGATCTTGTTGTCAAAGCAAACTATATTCACCTGCCTTTTGGTATTTAGGGCTTATTTCGGATTATTTGGGTCTTTTCAACTCAGGTATTCAACAGTGTTAACCATATAGAAAAGGAAAATTGGTTAAATCGAGGAAGAAAAGGGGCGCGTGCGGCAAGCAGGTAGTTTCTTTCTAAGTACCACTTAGGTATTTTAAAAAAATTGTTCACTTGTACATTATTGCGTAATTTAATTAATTATTTTATTTACTACAAAGAAAGAATTATTATAAAATACTTGAATATGAAAATTTAATATTTTTTAACATATTTATAGCTTTTATCAATAATAGCTATGTATTTCAATAAATTTAAAAAAAGTTAAAAAAAATTTAAGTCTAAAAATTCTTCTAATATATTATACGACCCGAAAGTTTTTGGAACTAACATATATAAAACTTTCATGTTTGTATGTGTATCACACGTAATATTATAGTGGGATAATTCTAGCACAGACATCAGAGAGTTAAGGGTGTGCAAGAAGCTTGAAAAGCCGAGTCAACTGAAGCCGACTTTTTTCAAAGTCTGGTTCATGACTCTGGTTCATTATAAAGTATAAATTATTGTAAAAATCAATTTTTTTCTTTTCCAGAAGTTCTCAAAAGCGTGGTAATTCACTAAAATTACAAAAAAGTTAAATTTTGCACAAATTCAAAATTATAGGATATAAATTTAAAAATATATATTGATTTACCCATACAGAAAAATGCCACATTTCTATAACGTAAAAAATTTTTAGTAATTAATTAAAATTAATATTAAGCTATAATAATTAATACACCTATACACGTTCTAAAATACATAAATATTGTATAACTGTAAATTAGTATTTATAAAATGTTAAGATTTTTTGATTTCGTTATTTTATTTGATAATAAATTTCCAAATAAAGTTTTGATAATTGCTTTACTAAATTACAATTGCAAATTATTAATTTTTTATTATGATAATTATAATTTATTGTTACTTATTTAAAATTTATTTTATGCATCTAAAGAGATGCAGTTTTTCACAAATTCTTCTGTTCATAATAATGGATGAGATACTTTATAGGTAGAAGCAGAATACTATATAAGTGCTTTCAAGACGCATATATATTAGGCACAAATTATACTTTCTAGGCCAAAAGTTTGACTCGGAATACCAAACCGGAGAACATACAAATCGGAAAATATAACAAAGTTTTAAGAATAATAATTCTCATTTTTGAGAAAACATATCCATTTTTATCGCAGAAAAGAAGAAGTTAGGAGAATATTTGTAGATTAAAAAACATTTACATAAAGGTAAAAAAATCCATTATCTATTTGAAAATTTTTTTTAAGGTAAAGTGACGCTCCCTGAATGTTATAAAATCACATTGTTTCTTAATTTTACATGTTATAGTTAAAAAAAATTATAAAAGTATAATCACCAGTATATTGTAGATGTATTCTATTATATATTGGAAATAATGATTATTATATTGATATAGTATTTCAGTATTCTATGGAAAAACTGAAGCATTTTTCCATACTACTTGAATTTAATGTTCATCGATCACCCAACGTAAGAACCAAGCTCGGTGTTTTGGAATTACGATGAGGTAGCAGACATGCGTAGTATGCACATACTTTTATCTCCCCTTCTTGTGAAATATGTATATGTGTAGGCAGTGTTCACGAGGGTTGAGCGCAATGGATTCTGCACAGTTCTATACGTTTCTGAAAAATGGCGATTTTCTTAGAAAACAGATTACTAGCATCCGCCTGCATACATTTTCTCACATTTCCGGACTTTATTTTGGATTTTTTATGTCATGTCGTTAGACTTATCCAATTTAGGTCTACACCAATTTTTTTATCACAATAGGGAAATCCCATGATAAATCAGACTAAAATATCACTTGCCTATTTTTCCAATACATTGTCAAAGAAGATTTTTAAATCATAAAACTTAAAATTTTAATTAGAATTTCATTTTAACAAATTTTAAACTGACAGTGTTGTGGTATAGTATTTTGCTGTCTATTGCATAATGCCCATAGCTGTAATATCAGATCCTTTTTTTATAAATATCCCTACCAGAAATTGACATAGTTCACTACTGGCGCGGTACTGGTACCAATTTCGCGCCAGTAGTTAATTTTTTATAGGGATGTGAGGCATTCTTACGCCTTATTGGATCTGTAATTTTAAAATTTTTTAAGTCTGATGTAAGATTCATAATCAACAATCTTACATACTCTAGACTATAAAAAGTTTATTAAATACAAAATTCGTGTTCAGCAGATCAAAATACATAAGAAAAATAAAGTCCGGTTTTTGGTTCAAATAACTTTTTCTGTGTACAGCCTTTTTTTGTTTTGACTGTCCGTCCAATTTGAAAATAAAGCTTTCAGAATCAGCCAAGGTGTATAATAATGTGAGTCCAGAGACGAAACGAAGTTGCTATGTACCAATTTTCGACTGATCAAATAGGGCTTGTAAATTTTCTTTTTGTATCTAAAACTGCATAAAAATTAACTGCCATGAAAATACTTTTTACAGTAGTCGTCATGAACAAATATTATTTTAGTACAAAAAATAATTTTCAAAGTGTTGCTTTATATAGTGGCCAAAATAAGGTAGCGTAAAGCGACTCTTTGATTAGCTTGTGACGAAAAAAGTATATAGTGTATATGAGACAAGCACGTAAAACTTCGGTTCAACTCGGCTTGTCTCGTCTCACCTTCGTCGCATTGACGATTCGTGCTAAAAGCTTCAGCCTCTCTCGTACACCGTGCTCTCTTACAAAATTTGAACTTTACGTGGTAGCCACAGACGTTTTATATATGTATATACGTAATTGTATTATAACCAAAAAACATTTCTCTTCATTGAAGCAATCTAGTTACTTTTATACGTATTCGTAGTAGCTGAATTCAAATCCAAGGACAAAATTCCAAATTGTTTTCCAAAAACATCCTTTAAGTACATATATAACATAAGTATATTGTTTTGCATTTAGGAAAGGGGTTTCTGAAGGGATCAAAAAAAGATAAAAATTGGAAATATTAATTTGGTGTTTTTTTAAATAAATTAGCCTCAAGAGGATAGCTCTAACAAAACGTTTTGTGTTTTACTTTCCTTTGGATTGAATTTACGTTTTATTTAAAGATGCCATTTTTAATACACGGAAAAACTTTGTGCAAGAATCATTCCTAAATTTGTTCAGGAACTGAGCTAGGATATGAGAATAATAAATTTAAGAAATCTTATTTATATTTTCTTTGAAAAATTCTAAGCA